ACGACCTTCATGAGAGCACTGTACACCGATTCGGGTAACTACTTGTTTCCTATTGATGATCCTGACGCTAGCACCGCCCCAGAACGAGATCGGCTTCGACAGGCTGCGAAGGCATGCTTCGACAAGGTGTTCGACGAAGATATGCCCAGAAGTTCAACACTTACTCAGGAAACGGCTCTGATGACAAGCGTGGACAGCGAACGTGAAGCACCAGCTCCGGCAAAAAGCATCCACATACTTGACTCGCGCGGCGCGAGACCCAGCGGGAAGATGGAGGCGGCGCCTCAACGGGCCCATGTACCTGACTCGCATGGCGGAGCGTATAGCAGGAAGACAGTGACGACGTTTCAGCCAGGAGCTGGCGCACGGAATGGCGAAGCGAATCATGACGAGGAAGCGCAGACCTCAGAGAGTAGAATGAGAGCGAGAAAGGAGACCGCACTCAACAGCAAGAGCGACGCGTACATGCCCTACATGGATAGCAAGGAGTGCTACAGAAGATCGCGCCAGTGGAAGGCGCCGAGATGGACAGGTGCTGACCTCTGGCCGAAGACGATGAACACGAACACCAAAAGGCTCTTGGAGTCTAACTACCGAGCGATGCCAGAGGAGTTCTACGTTCAGACCCAGCTGCCAGTGGTGACACCCGAGAATCTCGAGAACTGGATAGACCAGATGAGCATCTACTACCACGTTGAAGTACATGAGAGCATGTCAGGCGGCGGCAGAATCAGCCGTCGCGCGGTCACACAGGGTCTCATCGTGGGTTTTCCAGTGGACTATCGCTATGGCCGGGACATGGCAGTTCCTCATCATCAGAAGTTGTTGGCTGGCTTTCGGAAGAGATGTTTCAATCAGTGCTACACTGTGGTCGCCAACTTGTACGCCGCGGTCTATCGCAAGCCGACGCAAGAATCTTGCTGCACTGGAGGCAGACAGGAAAGGACAAGCACCAGCCATCGCTTTTATGCGCGATGATATGCGACAAACACTTGGCACCGAGCAGCACCATCTGGTAAAGAATTCGCACAACAGCGATTTCTGGACCAAAACAGGCTGCACGAGCATCACTGACCTGGATATCATGAGGACGTTCATGGCCGACCAATGCTCTTATGGCGCAACTAATGAGCTCGGCGAACCAGTGAGGAAACGGACACGATTGGATGCGACATTTGCTCTTCGGGCTAGTACATGACACTGCAGTTGCAAAGTTGTTCATGGTCATCTTACTGGCACGGTTGACGGCAGCACGCGCACGGCCAAGGCTGCAGTCTTTCCCGAATCCTTCTGCAATGCGCTCGCCAAAGACAGCGTGAGGATATCAAGACTGCAGACGTTCTGGGGCTGTGAACGATGTCGACTGGGCAACGGGAAGGAAGCAGAACATACGCGCATGCTTGGAGACTGCAAGATGGCGCCTGCTGCACCACCAAAGGTCGACGGACGAAGGACAGCACCGAAGAAACAAAAGGAACCAGAAGCACCTCAGCATCCAGACGACGAACCGCCAGAGCCAGCAGCAGCACCAGCAGATGAAGAGCCTCAGGCAGAAGTAGAGCAGATCGAGCAGGATAGCCAGGAGGAGCCCAAGGACGAGGACGAGGCGGTCATCAAGCCGCTCGATCCGATCCCGACCGATGCACCTGAGCCAGTTCCGGGTGCTCCTGGAGTTGAAGTACCTCCTCCTCCTGAACCTCACGATCAGGAACCCAGGGGGGGGATCGGCAAGAAATCGGCTCCACCTGAACCCGAGATTGCGATGAAGAAATGGTGCGAGGTGAAGCCCGTTTTCGACCTGAGCAAGATGGTCTCTCGACTTGAGGAGGCCACAGATCGGTGGGAGATCCTGCGTCTGCTGCTTGGTTTCCAAATCAGACTCTGGCACGCGCCTGTGCCGGACATGATTGCGTTTCTCAAGAGCGCGGATTGTTGGACTAAGACCTTGGCTGGAGTCATCACCCCGGTGCGTTTAGCGCGTGCGGTTTGCAGAGATCACGCTCGGCCGCAGATATAGCCTCGCGCAGGAATCACAGTTCCACTTCGATTTAACCATCGAGTACAGCTGGTTTTTCTTTCCATACGGGACAAGGCGTGGCTTCTCATTATTGACGAACCCTCTCGGCATTAAGTGGCGGATGTTATTGCAGATCGCACGCCTAAGGAGCTGCCGACCACCATCGTGAGATGCTGGATCCGATATTTCGGGCCGATGCAGGCGATGATTCTTGACCAGGAAGGCAGACTGGCATCAGATCTGAGTTCGAAAACGTGCGACAATATGAACATCCAGAGGCGATATGCTGGCACCGACGATCACGCCGTGACGGGCCTTGTGGAGAGATGGATTCAGTCGGCGCGGTTGCGCGCCATGAAACTCGAGCGGACGCGTGCCATGCAGGGTGGAGGTATCTAACATTGAGCTCGTACAAATGGCGGCCATGGTCCCGAACAGCATGGTCAGCTACGGCGGTCAGACGGCGTCTCAAGTGGTCTTGGGGTTCACGTCGAGCGACTACTATGACCTTGAGGCCACCGCCATGGACTCAGCGTCGGGCGCCGACGTCAGCTGCCAGGACCCGTCCCAGGCAGCAGTCAGGCTTCGCCTCCTTGCGAAGTCAGAGATGGCGCGCGCGATCGTCGAGGACAGAGTTGCACGAGCAAACAGGACGCGCGTACAGCAGCATGGCCCTCGAAACCAGCTCAAGGTAGGTGACAGCGTGGACATCCACAGGGTTCCCGAACGCAAGGACCAGTCGGGCTGGCGCGGCCCAGCGGAATTTGTGAAGATCTCAGAGGGCACGGCTATCATCGTTTGGATTGGAATACCATATATACTTCCTGTAAGGCACGTACGTAAGCATCTAGTCGGACCCTTGGCTTTCCAATCCTCAGCTCCTGCTCTTGAGGGCGATGAGAATCTCGACACCTTCAGGATGCTAATGGATATCGTTAACGGCAGCATCTACGGACAAGTGGAACGGCTCGGTAAGATAGTTGGCCAAGATGGGCAGATGGAATGCATGCTGGATGTCAAATCTCCGGTGAACCTTCAGCCCTGAAAGTTGAGCAAGATGACGTACAATACTGTCTTCCAGCTGAAGTGCATCGACGGCATCATATGTTGCACATCATTGCGACGGATCCCATCACTATCTGGTGTCAAGTTCGGTCTGCTGACGTTGCGGACAAGGAAAGACCACGCCAACTACTTCACCTTCGAGGTGGACCCGAGCGAAGGCGCGGTCATCAACGGTCTGGCGACTCAATTGGAAGAGCACGTCATTCCTCATGTTCTACTCGATGACAGCTCTGTCTGATCCTCTCTCGGACGAGCATCGAGTGCCAGACATGGAAGATCTTGCTCGCATTGAAGCAGTACCTGACAGCAGTCGAGATGTGGACCGCGATGTGGCGGACACGACCAGCTTACTACCCGACTTGGACGATTGGATGGGCGCAACGGCTGTTGGACCACCTGACGAAAAGAGCCGACAGAACGAGATTCTCACGGAACCACCTCTTCCTCCATCTGCTGAGCCACCGCCTCAACCACAGGCGGATCCACTTGCGGCGCGAATGGGCTCAGCACCACAGCAGGCAGGACCAGCAGTGCAAGAATGGCCAGAAGCTCCGGTGGCAGGAAATGGAGACATTCACATGCATCCTGTACCTGACGAGTCTGACCATGATCTGAATATGGACAAGAAGGATGACCTGTAAGAAGAGCCGAGCAGGATCATGGAAGAACGAGAATCTCAAGTTGCCCCAGCTCAACAGGCACCTCCACAACAACAACCTGCTCCAGCACAACCTGTTCCAGTACAGCCCGCGCCGCTGCCGGCGCCTGCGGCCAACGATGTGGACCTCGCTGGTGAGCTGAGTGACATACTTCAGCGTGGCTGGGACACACAAGCAGCCGCGGCCCCTCCTGGCGGCGCTGCCGGAGACCGCTCGAGGTCAAGGCACGCCGAGCCAGCGCAGCTGGCAGACGAGCAGGCGGGTCAAGCAGGCGACGCAGTTGTAGACGACAAGACGACTTATGACAAGCGTCCTCATCAAGACGCGGCAGGGGCGAGCACAATCAGCTCGGGGCCGAGGTATCCTCGCCAGCGCGTTGACGAAATTGAACATTATGAACCGATTCCGCTGGCTAATCAACAGGCGCCAGTTACTCAGGCCCCTGAGGTTGGTGGGGATCATCAACCTCTGCAAGATCAGGCACCTTCTGAGCAACTGGCGCCAGCACCCGAGCAGAACACCACGGGCGACCTAGAGAGGGAGCTCAACAACATCATGGATCGCGCTGAGGAGAGCGCGGAGGCTGAGGACAATATTCCGATGCAAGATGGAGACCTCTTCGCTCGCCACAAAACGTTCAATAGCGTTATCAACTGGCGCGGCGGCGAAGACGACATGATCAACAAGCTAAGGTGTCACGCATGAACGACGTTGTCCCCGACCTCCTCGAAGATCGCGCGGGATCACACTCGTACTTGACAAGCATCCAGAATGGCGAACTTCCGCGGAGGTCCTCGCAGGCCCTGCGGACAATCAAGGGCCCAGGGAAGCACAGCTGCTGCTTCTCATTACGCATGCGCACTGGCGAGGTTCAAAGCCACGGCGGCGCCGAAGAGACTGGCAACATGAATGCGGAGGAGCTCCTGGCCCACTGGCAGAAAGTAGAAGAAGCAGACCTTAAGGGGCTGAGGGCCTTCGCTGACCACAAGGTTATCGCGTGCCAGGCGAGACGCGCGATGAGCAGCAGCAACCGCATCGACGCGGCATGGGTCGGGAAGTGAAAACATGACGCCAAGTTGAAGGAGTGGATCGTCAAAAGCAGGTTGCGCGGGCGCGGCTTCTCGGACAAGCAAAAACAGGATATCCCGCGCTGTTCGAGCACGGCAAGCAGACTGAGCCAGAAGCTCATCGTCTCGACCGCCCAGGTTTACGAGGGCTTCGAGCTCTAGAGCTGGGACATCAGCACGGCGTTCCTGCAGGGCCTGAGCTATGATGAGAACAGGCGTCGAGCGAAGAAGTTGAAGATCAACTGCGAGACGGTGCGGAACGCGCTTCTGGCTCCTCCGGCGAATGTCCGGCGTCTGCTGGACAAGCTGCCCGGCAGCGGGGTCCACGCGAAAGAATGGGACGTCGAACTGTTTGTCTTGGAATTGCTCAAGCCACTGCGCGGATTGGCTGGCGCGCCTCACCTCTGGCAAGTGGCTGCGACATTATATATGGTGGACGTTCTTCGTGCCAGAGTGAGCCTGTGGGTCGAGAACTTCGCCCACTGGACGCATGCCGATTTGCCGGGCAAGATCCGAAGTCAAGCTCAAGAGGCACGCTCCGTTGACGATGTCGCTGCAGCTCTATCCATTCATGCTGACGACCTTCTGTCAACAGGCCGCTCTAGGCACCTCGAACACTTCCTCGGACTGCCGGAGGCCAAGTTTGGAGCGGTAAAAGGGCAGCAGCATCCGTTCACCCACAATGGTGCACGGCATTCGAGGTTGAAGGACGGCACGATACTTCTGCAGCAGATCCATCAGCTGAGCAAGATACCCTTCTGCCAAGTACCTGAGGGAGTTGATGACAAGATGGTGACAGGAGTGTATGCTCATGGGTTCAGAAGCATCCTGACTTCGATGCTGTTCCTATGCCAGCGCAACATTCACATCATGACGGAGGTGACCCAGCTGCAGGGCTTCAACAATGAACCTAGGATCGTGCACCTCAAGAGGGCGAATGCACTACTCAAGCGAGCTCAGAGTGACACGGTTTTGGTTGAATTACACTATCCGTTTCTGACGCCACCGTTCTGTTTGCGAGCTGTGGGCGACGCCAATCATACTACAAAAACCTCTGTCCACCCTCAAGTGAGCCAGCTCGTGCTTCTGATGGAGGACAACAAGTTGTGCATCGACAGTTCTCACCTTCATATTGATGCGACGGCGATCTCTGGTAAGTGTCGCGTGTTGGTGGCTATCAGCAGTAAGGCGAGAAGGTTGCGCATTCCATCTCCATGGGAGAAACCAATTGCGGATTGGCTGTGGTTTCCGAGGCGCAGATGGTGGCTATGAGGCTGACTGAGATGCACGTTGCTCCGAAGTGTACGACCAAGCAGATGATCACTGTTCTCATCGAGATGAGCAACTCAGGCCAGTATGCACTGCCTACTGACCATCTCGCCGACTGCAAGGACATGTTCGAACTGGTGACGGGCTTGAAAAGAGCCCCTCAGGATCGACAGCAAAGATTGGCAATCATGGCTTTAAGAGAAGAGCGGATGACAGGACGAAAGCGATATACCATACACATTCCGACTGACGTGATGCTCAGTGGCGCGCTGACGAAACCAGGTATCTTCCCTCAGCTCACGTACCTGTTGACGACGGGCATTGCGAAATTCTACGGCAGCAAGAAAGTCATTGCCTGCAAGCAGCTATCACATCGACCGAGCGCATTTTTAGAATCAGACTTGGAGACAATCTAGAGGTTCGACTAGTACGGGACCGCGGAGATGGATGGTTCTGATATACATGCATATTACGTCGTATTTCTATGTTTCAACATGTCTTGGGGGGCTCTTGATGCCACAGATGTCTCGTTCCGATAATTGGTGCTGTCAGATAGCACAACGAGTAGTTTATGCATTATAAGTTGGACGGCGGCTTCACTGCGATGTACTCTCACGTTCAACTTCACTGTGGTGTGCCCCCATGTACATCTTCACTGCGGTGTGTACTGATGTACACCTCCGACGACAACGTAGTGCACTCTAGGCACCGCCACGCCTCTTTGCAATTTCCCGGCACAGAGTTTCCCGGAGGGTAGAAGGAAAGTGAAATTTTATGTGTGTTGGAGACCCCCCTTGACGAATATCAAATGTAATATCTGTTCAAATATGTAAAGCTTAGCGGGCAGGCAGTGTCAAACATGTTCGGACTGTAAACCACACTAATGCTCAAGGGTGCGGGTTCGCTAGCTACAAACATTTCAGTAAGAGGAAGGGAGCGGGCGGGGGCGGGCCTCCCCCGGAAGCCCGGAAAGGGGCTCTGGCCTTCTTGAAAAGGTGCTCACGAGCCTTGCCCGCAGGCACGAAGCGCTTTTCAGACGGCTGGGGGGGGTTCTGAGAAGCCCCGCCGCCTGCCGAGAAGGCCTCCTCCTCCTCCTCCTCCTCCTCCTCCTCCTCGTCCTCCTCCTCCTCCTCCTCCTCCTCCTCCTCCTCCTCCTCCTCCTCCTCCTCCTCCTCCTCCTCGATGCAGCGACGAGTCTGTACAACACACGCGCCCCCACCACTGAACTCCTCGAGCACCGACACGAACCAGTGGAGGATCTTCACGGACAGGTAGGCCTCCTCCTCCTCGCTTCCCCCCCCCCTCTCTCGCTCGCCGCCGGGCGGCGTCGGAGCTCCCCCCCGGAGAGGCCCCCGAGGAAGGCGAGCGCGCCGGCGCCACACGCGCGCCCCCCCGCGGGAGGGAGAGCGGGGGGAGAGGGGCACCCCACCTCTTTACGTCGGGCATGTCCTTCTACAGGCGCATCTCGGAAGAAAAATGACACATAGTCCAAGAATTTTCATACATAGACAAAGACAATCGAGAAATCGTCCCCAGACTGCTTTTGACCTAGGGAACGGGATGGAGAACGCGGCGTCGTCGTTTGCGTCGGCGTCGTCGTCGTCGGCGGCGGCGGCGTCGGCGTCGGCGGCGGCGTCGGCCGTTTGCGTCGGCGTCGTCGGCGGCGGCCAGCGGCGGCGGCGGGGGCGGACCGGTCCCAGGGAAGCGGTTCAGACCTTTGGGGGTGTGCGCCGTAGAAAGCACGACGTCGGAGTTCTGGGTTCAAACGTAGGGGGGAGCCCCCCCCAAGGCATCCGACACCTCGAGTTGTGCTTGACGTGGGCCCCTGGACCTCTCAAGCCCGCCCTGGAGTGAGGCGTTTTCATCCCGTGCAGTGTTCGGGCGGCGCCAATACCCGAAACGGGCCTTCATGCGCAAGGCACATTCCAAGACGCCGTGCAGTTTGCGTAGAGTCGCCTGAGGTGCGAGTCCAGGGCCAGAGACATCTACTACACCCCAGACATGTCCTGGGGAACGTGTCGTTCAGAACACGGGCACATCCAGCCGTGGCGACAAGATGCTCCCCAAAAAACATGAGAACCTGACCCCTGGCCGTCGCATCCGCTCCCTCCTGCCTGGGCACTCCCTCCTCCCACCCCCTCCTCCTGGAATGGAGCTCCTGGACCGCCGCCGCCGCCGTCGCCGCCACCGCCGCCGCCGTCGTCCTCTGCGCTGGCAGAGCCAGGCCTGGCCTCCGCCCAGCCCACCTTGGTGGATGGCACGACGACGTCGCTGGGCGCTGCCTGTCGCGCCGCCGCAGGGGGCCCTCCCTCTCCGAGCCGCCGTCCTCGTCGCGGGCGCCTCACGACGGCGCCCCTGCCGGCGTCCTCGTCCTCGTCCTCGTCCTCGTCCTCCTCCTCCTCCTCCTCCTCCTCCTCCTCCTCCTCCTCCTCCTCCACCACCTCCTCCTCCTCCTTCTCCTCGTCGTTTCCGAGCGGCGTCGTCGTCACTGTTGTCAGACGCCCTCGCCCTCTCACGACGGCGTCGCTAGGCGGCCCCCTGGAGAAATCTGCGAACCGACCACGCCATCACCCCGGGGGGGGGAAGAAGGATAGGGGATCTCGGGGCGAAGGCGACGGGGACACGGACGAGGACACAGCCTGCATGGTGCACCGCGCGGGTGCCGCAGGGTGGGGCCGCAGCGCCCTGGCAGGCGTGGAGCAGTGCCACAGTGCCATCAGCGCGAGGTGCTGCGGCAGAATGCGACTCCGACAAAGGAGATCAACCGGTCCCCTCCGGTGCGGCTGTCCCCGGCGTGCGGGCCGAGGGGGGCCGGGGCCCGTGCGGCTGTCCCCGGCGTGCGGGCCGAGGGGGGCGGCGGGGGCCCGCCCCCCCCCCCCCCCTACCACACACACACACACACACCGGGACCTCTCCCTCCGGCGACCAGGGTCTTGGCAGCTGCTGCGTGGCCGGCCTGTGCTCGCGTCATGGCCCTGGCCAGTCTGGGCTGGCGCTGTCCATGGTCCGATGAGCCCACGCCCACCTCGATCGCAAGGAGGAGGTGGGTGGCGAACCCCCTTCCCCAGGTCTCCCTTCTGAGCCCGTTCGGCGCCAGAGCCCGTCCTGCCCCCGACAGGACATGGGATCGGGTCGACTCGGCTGTCGAAGGGGCCAATTTCGTAACACCCTGTCGGAGTTGAGCGCGCTTCGGGGCCCACTCGGTGGACAAACGGGCTCAAACGCCAGATTCAGAAGAAGGCGCATTCACATAAGCAAAAATTTCCACCAGAGGTCCGCTAAATATGTTTCATCGACGCTGGACCCCCTCCCTGGTGCGCGGAGCGTGCCAGGGGCGGCGCCAGAGGCACCGCCAAAGGGGTCCAGCGCCGATCCACAAAAAATCCGCCAGGACCTCAAGAAGCTGATGTGCATGCAGATGTTCTTCGAGAGCGGGCAAAGATGGGAAATCTCGCGCTGTTGGTGACTCCACAGTCAACCCATATAGTAAGGATGCGCGGTAAGGATGCAAGGGAGGCCTTGGAAAGCCATGTTGACATTTTTCGAACGGGGCTGGCCAGCGAAAGTTGCCAGGGATGGGCCGAAGGGGCAAGGATGCAAGGATAACCTTTGAAAGTCGCTCATCCTTGCTATGCGTGGTAACTCCACTTGAGACTGTCCGAGCAGGCGCATGCAGAAGAGGACCCCCACCAGGGGGGTGGGCCGCACCCGCCTTGAGGGGCAGCGACGGGAACTGCGCGCGCTGAGGGGGGGTCCTCTTCATCCTCGGCCTGGTCGTCGTCGTGGTCGTCGTTGTCCTCCTCATCCTCCTCCTCCTCCTCCTCCTCCTCCTCCTCCTCCTCCTCCTCCTCCTCCTCTTCCTCCTCCTCCTCCAGGCCGGCCCCTCTTCTTGTCGCCCCTCTCGGCAGTGACTGAGCGCGTGTACTCTGTGTAGCAGCATGGTCACCTAGAAGGCGGAATGACGACATGGGGGATAAACAAGGCTCTAACGGCCCCAGCCCGAGCTTGTTTTGTTTTTCAGAGTGGGCATCAGACGGCTTGAAGGGCTTGAGTGCTGCTCCTCCAGGCCGTGCAGGAGGAGGGAGGAGGAGAGGGAATGCAGGAGCATGTTAGAGCATGTTGGCCCGACCCGAGGGGCCAGGCCCAATCTTCTTCCGCACCGCGAGGGCGAGAAGCAGCATGAAATCGCGCAGCGGGGCGACGAATAGGATGGACTCAGGAACCAAGACTTCCTCACCGACAAGACGTGCAACAACATCAATGGCCGACACTGGACTGGCCACCAGCATGATCTACAGCATCACGGCGAGGACAGCATGACCAGGGCGCCACTGCCGCTGCATCCAGCGGGGCTGCTGGGGCAAAGATAGGCCGCCGCAAGGGCCACCACCCTAGGCCCCCACTTAGCACTTCAAGAGATTGATGGGAAGCGTGCATCAACAAAGTCATGGCCGCGACACCGACAGGTGCAAGTATAGATGACTGATTGAGCGGGCTGTATGCGTTAGAGTAGGATGTCTAGTGAAGGGCTCACGGTCTTGGAGCAGCTTTAACACTGGCAGAAGATGGCAGAAGTAGCTAGCATCTGCAGCCAACCCGAGCCACCGCAGACAATGCATGAGCGTCGGCCTTCTGGGTGCGCGAAAGCCGATGAGACGTCAGCCACGTATCTGCAATCGATCTGCTGAAAGACGCATGTGGGGACAGCCCGAACTGAGGCCTCATGCTAGCTCCAATCCACAGATGCTCTTCTCCATCCAGAGAACTGTGTGACACTCCGGGGCCCCCTCTGGTAAACCTCTCGTCGTGACTTTTGGCCCGACGCGAGACAGCCTGGGGAGACGTTTCCCTCATGGGCCTCTCCTTCCTGCCGATGGTCCTCAGAAAGTGTGCTAGCGTTGTCAGAATGTGTGCTTGTCCACCGAAGTCCCTCAATACAACGCGGTCAGCGCAGTGAGGGCCGACACCTTCGGCGTGCTATCACTGGTTCGCCTTTAATACGCCAAGGGCGTCTTTTTAGCGTTTTCGGTTCGGCGTCTGCTACGTCACTTTTGAAACGTTGTCAGGTCTCCACCAAAAATTCAAAACGCTGAAAAAACAATGATGCGTTGTTATGGCGTATTCTGACATTGCTTTAGCACTTTCGGCCTGGAAACGCTAAACAAACGCAAACAAACGCCAAAATAACTGCCCTAAAAACGATCTTAAAAACGCATTTGATTTGTTTTTGCCCTTTCAGCCTGTCAAGAGCCCAAGGTGGAAAACTGCTAAAAAACGCCCAAGGCGTTTTTAGGGCGAACCACCTGCACAGGGTGAACACACATTGGGCTAACACACGTCCTCGAAATCCGTCCACTTCGACGCTACATCTGTTTCGTGTAGTTGGCCCCCAGGGCTTCGACCACTTCCCCTGGGCTGGATCTTCGTCCTGTCTCGTTATTTGACGGTCCACGGGGGCCGAAATGCGGCCTCAAGACGCCAGGAAAAAAGCACACAAACAACAAACAACAACTAAACCGCGCATGCTTGTTGCGCAACCTGGACCTGAGGGATCACTGATCATGGCAACTGCGGAGGAAGAAAAACACACGAGCATCAACTCTTGGAGGTCTGCGCGATTTCTTAGATCGGCGCTGGACGACCCTCCCTGGAGCGCAGAGCGCGCAAGGGGCGGCGCCGGAGGCGCCGCCAGGGGCCCCAGCTCAGATCCATGAAATCGGCGCGGACATCCGATAGTTTTCATGTATGCGCCGCTTTCCTTCACATGGTGGGGGGGTGCGGTCAACCACGGCAGCCCTCCTCCTCCTCCTCCTCCTCCTCCTCTTCCCCTCCTCCTCCTCCTCCTCCCTCCTCCTCCCTCCTCCTCCTCCTCCTCCTCCTCCTCCTCCTCCTCCTCCCCTCCCTCCTCCTTTTCCTCCACTGGATATCAGCGATTTCAGCGAATTCCTCCTCCTCCTCCTCCTCCCCTCCCCCTCCTCCTCCCTCCCCTCCTCCTCCTACTCCTCTTCCTCCTCCTCCTTCCTCGCTTCCCCCCCGCCTCTCCCTCCCCGCCTTGACCGAGGCCCAGCGATGCATGACCCACACGAATGCAAGAGATCAGAAGCCCGACGCTGGAAGCGCCTGCGAGTGGCCCCTGGGCCGCGAGCCGCCGCAATCTGCAACTGGATTGGGGCCGCGGCTCCACCATTAGGGCCAGCTCGTGGGGGACATGAGCCGACCCATCCCCGCCGGTCCCCCGAGTGGCCCAGCGACGAATAAAAGCAGACCTGTGGGCAGACGCTGGTATCGCTCGCCTTCTCCCTCCTCCCCCGAGGTCTTCTAGGTCCTTGGCGCACCACGTGCCGTTCTGCAACACGTGGCACAAAAAGGGGGCTGATATAGTGATCGATGTCCAACACTAAAGGTAATCTCCGATGCAGCGGAAAGAATTTCCCGAACGAAATCTTGGAGTCTGGGCCAGCCCCGCTCTTCAGCAGGCCCAAGGATCTGCTGACCTCTTTGCTCCGAAGGCCCTGGTGGCCCCTCTCAGCGAGGAGCCTGACCTCTCCCCCCTTGGCGGCGCGCAGAGGGGTGTGGGGGGAGGGGAAAGGCTTCTTAGAAGGAGACTGTTTCTTAGAAGGCGCCAGCCTTAAATCTGCAGACAAGGCCCGCGCCTTTTGAGGAGCAGGCGGCCTCCACGAAGCCTCCCCCCTCCCTTGCCCCCCTCCGCGTGTGGATGACCCTCCTTCCTTTTCCCCCTCCTCCCTCCTCCCTCCTCCCTCCTCTCTCCTCCCTCATCCTTCTTCCCTGTACTGCATTCAATGGAAGCGGCCGTCGCAGCCAGCCGCCCCAAACACAAAACACACTCACCCAGTAACATGTGATTGCGGAGCGGGCAACAAAATCCGAACCTGGAGAGTAGCTGGGCGGGGCCCCAACGTTCCTCCCACAAGCCTGCAGCACAAGCTGCCTGATCATTGTCTTCAGCTTGCCTCACCTGGGCCTCTCTGTTGACCGACGTGATCAACGCCAGCAAGTCAAAGGGAGACGGGGACCCATGTCCTGAAACAGTCCAACCTGCATACTGCTTCGCCCAAGAAGGGAAAGCACCTCGCAGAAATCTTGACCTCTGCTGCCTGAGGTCTTTAGTCCTAGGCGTACCATGACACTTGGTCGCCAAGGACATGACTCCAGACCAGGCATATTCACCGCCCTTCATGCAGCAGATCACCCACCCGCTCCCGCCACCCCTCCCACCGCCCCTGACGAAGACCTTTGCTTTGCAAAGGTTGTCGCCCTGCAA